TATATATATATATATACTAACTTCAATTTTTCGAAGGTAATTTTTTCCATATTATCATCCTTAAGCTGGGCACACTGCCAGTTTTTTGAAGAAATAGCTGATTTAGTAATTGAAGTATCTAAGTCTTCTTCAGCAAAAGCTAGAAAAATATTAAAAAGAAGTTATGCATCAGGCTTTTTCATGTAAATAAATAATTATATTTGGAATATCAAAACATAAAGTCACATTAAAAATATTATTCTATTATTAGTGTGGGATACAAGAATAGGTTTTCTTGGAGAAAATTAAAAAAGTCTACATTTACATTCCTCATAAGTATTAGCTTATAAAGTAGAAACCAAACAAAAATAAATGTAACAATTAGCTTACCAATTTACAAACAATTAATTTAATACAAATTCTGTCAACAACAACAAAAAATTCATATTTTTGTTTTTATTATGAAATAATATATCTTAAATGAAGAAAATTAAATATTTTTATTTTTTAACAGTTATTTAATGATAAAGAGCAACATTAAAAATTGTTCAGCTAAACTATCACAAAGTTTTAAATTATAGCAGCACAAACTTTGTTTTAAAAATTTAGCATCTAATTCTGTTTAAGTTAAATTTCGACCAAATCATTTTGCTTGGTCACCATTATCATTTCATGAAAAACTTGTTTTTAAAATTTTAACTCAATTTTGCATTTGATTTTATACAAATTTGTTAAATGATTTTTCTCATTATTATTCAACAATAATGTGAAAGGTTAATTCCTGATATTGTATAGAAAGTTCTACAATTTTAAATGTTTTCTTTTTCATACTCATTATTCTAAATGCATAGATTGACTGTGCTCAGTTTCACATAAAATATATTATAAGTAAATAAAATTTTTAAAAAGTAAACAAAACTTATTTATGGTTTGATTAACATAAATGTTAAGCATATATGATTATCACAAAATATAGCATTATAATATCATACATTCCCTTTTAATAAAGGTACACCATTTTTAGTATGCGAATAAAATTGGTCTATTCCTTCTGTATTGTCTATTAGTATTAGAAAACAATAGGAATAATTTAAATTAGTTTAATAAGCCTTAGTTTAAAACATTTAAAAATTTCAGTTTAATTTAAGATATTTCAATTTAAAGAGAACGATCATGTAATATTATGTGATATTCAAAGAAGTCTAAAAAGATAACAGTAGAAGAACAAAAATGAGTTTCATAAAATGTCAACTTTAATACAAACAAAACTAAATAAACATAGTTATTTGAATATGAATTGCAGTTAGCATAATTAAGCAAAGCCATGATAAAAAATGAATACAATAAGGACATTGAAGAATAGATACCAGTTTTATAGTCATCATCAAACTGATCATGCATGTACTTTTCTAACACCTTTGAATTGTAGAACACATTTTCTTCTTCTTTACAGTCTATAATAAACACGTGATTACATTAAATATATAATAGTTTGGAAATTTGGTTGTTTTACATATGTTAAATATCAAGTGTTAAATTTGCTAAAAATATAATTTTTTGATTAAATAACATAACAAAACAATTTAAAAATATAAGATTCATACAACAAGTTCATACAAGATTCATACAATAAAATAATTCATACAACAAGTTCATACAAGATTCATACAATAAAATAATTTATACAACAAGTTTTACTTTATCCACTCAACAAATAGTTAGTAAATTATTACAAAAAAGACATATTATTTAAGAAGGTTAGTTATAAATATAGAATTTAAGTAATGCAATATTGAGGGCGATGTTAAAAAAGAATTTTCTGTTGTCATAACTAGTATTACGAGAGACAGGCCTGAATAGGGAGGCTGCAAAGGTGTGAATAAAGTAGACATTTGATCAGAAGATAAGAAGTATGTATTATAACATAGTATGTGTGCTACATAGTCGCAGTAGAGAAAAAGAAATTAGATTTTGAAATTTAAGAAAAACAAAAATGCAAGTGGCAAGACTAGCTGTGGGTATATACTATAATGAAGAAAAACATAGATTAAAACAAGATGTACTAGAAATTCATACTTCAATAAAATGCCACAAAAGAGCTAGACACCACTAAAGCAAGATAGGCAGCAATTATGAAACTGGGGGATTTGAAGCTAAATTATTGGCATTCACAGCTTACTGCTTGAAAATGATGTTTAACACTACACTGCATAAAGATAATTCAACATTTTCTAGTAAGTGAAGATGTTATGCTGTATTTACGTTGCATATTGCTGTATATCAAATATAGTATAATGCTATGTATCAGATCTTTCAATCTGTACTTTAAAGAACATGCTTAAGACATTCTAGGATGGGTGGATGCAATTTTTTATTCCTCACTCCTCTTCAACAACCATGCAGGGACTAAAAACAATGTTGCTGAAAAAATAAGGCCAATAGACACCATACTCGTATAATATACATGAACGTGCAAACATAGTTTGCGTAAAATTTGTCACCATCGCAGAAAATTATTACAATTAACTTTAAAAAAACTACCTCCTTCTCTTTAAAGACAGTTTGTCTTTTTAGAATTCCTATCAATGCAATGGTGATTTAAAATCACACATCTCGATTTCTTTTTATGCGATATATCAAATCTCACATTTTGTATTCACTTGATTTAAAAATCACTATTAAGATTTGTGTTCAAGTGACTTAAAAATTATACATTGGAATTTGTATTCACGCAATTTTAAAATGAAACATTGAGCTTCATTAATGCGATTTTAAAATCAAACATCAAGATTCATATTCAATCGAATTTAAAATCAAATATTGAGACTCGTATTCAGGCGATTTTAAAATGAAACATAGAAATTCGTATTAAAGCAATTTTAAAATTAAATGTCAAGATTCGTATTTACATGATTAAAAAAATCACACATTGAGATTCATATTGACACAATTTAAATAAAGTACTCACATCGATATTTTAAGTTAAACGATTACATTCTGTTGACAAATGCTACCTACACTTTTTCTTGCTCACATCTCAGGTATTTTTTCAATTATTTAAAAAGTATTTTTGCGCATAACGTTTTTGGATTTTTATTTTAAGCTTTTTGGGGGTTTTTATTTTATCAAACTCATCACTGTGGTAAAAATCAAAATTGAGTTCTATAAAAATTAAATATTTTACAAAAATCTATGATTTTTAAACAAATTTCACCAAAATGAGGTGGCAATAAGAGGGTTGAAACTAGCTACAAGAGTTAATCAATGAGCACAGAAAGTTTTTCATTTTATCTAAGTCTGATTGACTCAGAACCTCTTAAATTATTTTGAGCATGAACCTCCAAAGTAATAAATCTTTTTTGTCTTTTTTTTGTTGTTATGTAACCACTGTTTCGTATTAGATTCTAACAGATGTTACGCATTATTATGCATTAATGCTATAACTGTTGAAAGGTCATTTTAGTATCATATCCACCTCACATTAGACTTCCTTAAATTAGTCCAATGGTTTTAGTGATAATCCAATGAATCTAAACTTTATCTTAAGTGCAAACATCAGATCAAATGAAAATAATAAAAAAAAAATGCTAACCTGATCCAGAAATTTCAGCATCTTGTTTTAATATGGGGCTTTTATCAGATTCATTTTGTGACTTGAATATACTAACTTTTGATTCTTTTACATCTAAATCAAGATAGAATGTAGAACTCGAAGATGATAATCTTGAGTAACTCCCAGTGATTCTTGGGGTATTAGGAGATACAGGTGTTATAGAGCTCTCCTTGGAGTTATCTAAGAATAGTAGAAAATAACTGATATATTTTTATATTACAAAAGAGCTAAAAAAAATTTTAATTACATTAAGTAATTACAAGCATGAAATTGTATTGCAATAAAACATATGCTTTTTCATAATACTAACCAAATCAATAATATAAGCTAACCCTCTACATTTTCAAAAAATAAAAGTAAGAATTACTACAACTAGCATTTGATAAAATTGACAGGGAACAAAATTGTCAGATTTAAAATGATAGCATTTCTGAAACAGAAAACTATATTTTTAATTTTTCCAGCATAATTAGAAAAGAGAAAATAGTGTACAATTTGCTTTTGTGAAAGCAGTAAAAAGATTTATAAAAAAAAAATGTGATCCAGTTAAAATTAGAGGCAGTTAAACCTGTACTATATTGAATTAATTAAATGGCAGAATGCAAGCACAAATTTAAACACAACCCACTCTACCATCAATATAATAAATTTTAGAAGGTATTTTTAAACACTGAATACAATAAAAAATGAACATATATTAAAAGAAAAAAAGGTGTCTGCAACTGCCTGTTGGTCCATTTACACATGCTCTCCACTTCCATATTTCTTCACCTGCAAAAACTTAAAACTTCACAGTTCTATCTTGTAATTCGCTGCTTTTTGCTCTAAATTCATGGTAGTAGTATTTTAAGAACAAATCGTAAGAAAAAACAAGCCTGAATTCCCACATTTGAAGCAGCCAAAAATACTACAAAGGTGAAGACAAATTAACGGGCAGTTGGTTTGCCTAAATGAACACACCCCTATGTTGTTCCACATTGTTCACTGCTTTCATAAAATTACAGTTTTAATGACCACTCGCTGCCTTTCTTAGTATTGCTTTGAATTCATTGCATTAGTATTTTGAGAGCAAAGTGAAGAAGTTTAAATTACGCACAAACTCACAGCTCTCCACTATGACTTGAGTTTCTGAGCTGCATTCATCCTGCTTTTAGACAGATGAAAATTATTTTCTCTTTACTTCGTTTAGTGCTGGAGAAAGCTCACATATTGCTTACTTTAAAAAATCATATTAAATCATGTAATTAATGCTTTTCATTCTTTATGTTTTAAATTACAGTGGAAGAATAGCCCATATTTTAATTTAAAATTAAATTACATATTTATACTTTTAATAAAATGTCGTAATCTAAAAATGTTGAGAAGATAATTCATGTAGGTAAAAATGGGGAAAAAAATTACCTAAGAAAAGATAAGGAACTTTTTTTTAAAGGAAAATGTATAAAATTTACATAGTGAAAAACGTTTGCAAAGATATTTAAAAAATACAAAAAAAAGGGGGAAACGGTTTTAACAAATTACAATTAAAGCTTTTAAGCATTAAATTAATAATCACCAGCTAAATTTATCTCTCATATCTACGGTCCAAATTTTTGGAACCTGGTAAGACTGGTTCTGGAGTTCTCGCATCTACAGTCCAAATTTTTGGAGCCTGGTGGTATGAATGGTTCTGGAGTTGTAAGAGAAACACACAAACTCTTATTTTATATTATCACATGTTAATCGCTTCTTCTTGTGATAGTTGGAATTTACCGCATCCCAACCGCTTTTCCCAAAGAAATGGCACTTCATATAAAAAACTTAATTACATTTTTTAAACTTCGTGATTTTACTTATCAAGGTATATGGAAGCATGTTTCCAAAAGTGTGATTATAATAATAAAAAAACAAAGATGTGGTCATGCATAGTTTTTAAAATTTTAACATATTAAATTTAAATTCTACTTGACACCACTTCATCACTGTACAAAATATATTCATGTTGATTTTTGTGTCTGACTCAAGGAATCAAAGATAAAAAATTACTAAGAACAATAAACTTTCCCCCTTGATTAAATAGAGTTTTAAGCTAGCAAAAGTTAATACAGTCAATTCGCCATAACTCGAAGTACGATAACTCGAATATTACTATAACTCGATTTTTTTATGAGGTCCCGACCCTTTTATCTTCAATTTCATGTTAATTATTCTCGATTACTCGAATTTTACTCCCTTTAACTCGATTTTTTTTGGATCTTTTAAAGCAAGAAAAAAAACCTAGGAGCTGATATCTTGCCCCTTCCTTTGCAACACACACACAATGTCTTTCGCACTCTTCATGGAGAAGCTAAAGCTGTCCCTCTTGAAGTATGTGAACAGTGGTTAAATGAAACGTTACCAAATTTACTTCAAGGATACAGTTAAAATGATGTTTTCAATATTGATGAAATGGGTTTATTTTTTAAATGTCTTCCAAATAAGACTATGATGTTTAAGGATGAAAACTGCTCAGGGGGTAAAATGAGCAAGGAACGTTTGACTGTCCTAGTTGGAGGAAATGCGTCTGGGACAGAGAAATTGCCCTTACTTGTTATCGGAAAATACCGAAATCCCCGATGTTTCAAGAATGTAAAAACGTATCCTTTGGATTACAAGTCTAACAAAAAGTTTTGGATGACATCAGTTTTATTTGAAGACTATGTAAGAAAATTGGATCGGAAATTCTTCGCTAAAAAAAGAAAAGTGATACTCTTTATGGATAAATGCACAGCGCATAGTGATCTACCTAATTTGAAAGCAGTAAACTTGCAGTTTCTCCCGCCAAACACAACAGCAAAGTTGCAGCCGATGGACCAGGGTATCATAAAGTGCTTCAAACAGTCTTATCGTAAATGGCTTGTCAGAAAAATGATCTTAAATATTGTAAGCATTTAGAAGATTTGTAATTAATAAGCATTAATTAAATAATCCGACAATATTTTGAAAGTCCAAAACCGAAACTAACGGTAAGTCGAACTTCCGATATGTCGAAGTTTTTCGTCAGTCCTATCAGATTCGAGTTATCGCGAATTCACTGTAATAGCATCTTTTAAATCCTTAAAAAATAGACTCATATTCAAGTTAAATGCAACTCAATAAAAAAACTTGTTTTTGAAATATGCTGCTAGAACATTCATTGATAAAATTTTTAATTATTTTTAGGAATATGGGCAGAAATTGCCCTTCACAAATACTGCCTACAATCATATATCCTAACACAAATGGTTCTGAAAAAATAAGAAAAGAAAGAATAACTCTTTTGTTTTATTTTTATAATACTTAATATATAGTATTAGAATGCAGTAGTACAACAGAGTTCCTCACATACATTCTTTTATTAACGCAAAAATTAAGAACTTTATGGTCTTCATTGAAAAAATTAAGGACCTTAAAAATAGTATAATAATTGTTTATCATATAATACATACACGTACCCACAATGAAAGTTCCAATTAATCACATTTCTTAAAATATATATATTATATTGCATGCATTGATATAAAATATGTATTACAGAACTGTTTACATTTTAGCACAATTAGGAATTTAAATTTTACCATTTTTTAAAAATTTACCATTACGTATTACACATTGATAAATCATACATATTTATTTGATTTTTCAAGTTTTGTAGAAGTAGTTTCTTTCATGGACTCAAGCTACAAAAAAAAAAAAAAAATTTTATTTCTTCGTTTTTATAAGCACGTGCGCTACCAGTAGAATTGAATTTCTTGCACTCTGTCGATATCTTCTACTACTTAAGTACTTTCAGCCAACAAAAAAAAAAATCAAGATCTCCCCCCCCATTCTTTTCTTTCAAAATGCTCTATTCTCCACAACCGATCTCATGCTAGGCAAAGGGTAAAATATTTTAATGAAAAAACCACAGTAAAGGCATATTTTCTTCCTCCTGTCTAGAGTCCCCCTCACGCACACCCTTTTTTGTCTTTCAAAATGCTATACTTTTGAAGCAAGGTATTATTTTAGTTGAAATATTCTAGTTAAAATCTTATTCTAGTTGAAATAGTTGAGTCATAAAAAATAATAAAATCAAATTTAAATACAAGAAATCCGATTTTAATTTTAAAAAATTTTTAATATAATGAAAGAAAACTTATTTCAAACCCTACCTTGATATTTAACACATTATTTCAGAAAATACGCCTAACATTAAATTGTATGACATAACATATACAGAAGTAAATTAATAGATAGATTTAGAGCTGATTGCTTGCAATAAAGTAAAACTTTGATAATTCAGGGAAAGCTGTAATATTTCTTGTTCCAGAAAGAAAGAAAAAGCATTTTAGTTGCACAATTTTAAAATGACTTAACAAACGGCAGTGTTTACATACAAACAAATTGTGTAAAATAATTAAAATACAATCAAATACAATTTACCCCACTGTAACTTTATAATATGTAGTATTATATTATATATATTAATTATAAATATAATATTTATTATCAAAAAAAAATTTAAAAAATAAGAAGGAAAGAGAAAAGGGAAAGAAAATTTTGACCAGATTAATTTTAATAACGAGTTTTAAACTCTGGTAGTCATGTTATCTGGTAGTTAACATTATGAATGGCAAAAGCCTGTAATAAAAATAAATGTAAACAAATAGAAAACTAGAAATACCTTTGAAAGCAAAAGAATCAGTAGTTTGAATCTCTTTCACCCACAATGGCTCTAAACTTTCTTGAATCTCATTAGTATGTTCAGTGCGACAAGCAGTCTCAAAAGGAGGTATCTAAGAACATTCAAAAAAGTATTTGTAGTCATAGTTCTTAAAGTGAAGCAAAATGATAACGTGCTTCTCACACAGTTGGAAACTTACAAAATAAGTTGAATAATAAAGTATTTAAAAAAATTTTACTACATTTTAGAATAGAACAGAAGCTTAGATAAAGGATTAAAATATGAATTCAATAGAGAAGGGAAACTAATAATTGGAGAATTACAATATTTATAAAATTATAAATACAGTCAAACCCCGCTATAGTGAACCTTCAAGGGACCGAAATTTCAGTGCACTATAACCGGGAGTTCACTATATCCGCACTGCAAACAATTTTAACTCATTTTTCCGAACTGCTCCCTTTTATGACACATTATTTAAATAAATGACCAATAAAAAGAAATACAAAAATGATTAAAAAATAATTCGTAGCAACAAAAATGAGTTAACTTTTATTTTTTATGACTCTTCGTCTTCAGTACAAAAATTTTAGGGATGGTCTTCATTTAGGGATTGGAAACTGAGATAGAAAAAGCAAACAAGAAAAAAATTTTATGGCTACATTCCACTTAATAGATGGTTTTAAAAATCGGTTAGTGTATTTTATGCAAAAATTTCAAAATTTCCAAAATAATGAAGAAAAAAATCAGTCAAAGACAGAAAAAAATTCATAATATCCAATTTCCTCTCTTCTTTTGGTTCATTATATCCACAAAAAATAATATTACATGTGTATAGCAAGGCTCGGGAGCGAATATTTCGTTCACTATATCCAAGAGTTCAGTATAAATCGTGTTCACGATAACGGGGCTTGACTGTAATTATAAAAAAATTGGAGCATTATTACTAAAACCTACTGGATCAATTCCCTCAATAATCAAAGGTATTTATTTTTGACCATAGGCGATAAGAAATTTGGAATTAAAGATAGTAATAATTTTTAAAAATTTATATTTTTATTTTTCTGTATAAAAATTATCAGCAAATACTAAATTTTATGTAAAAAAATTTTAATTTTAGAAATTATATAAGTTATTATTTTATAAAAAGTTCTTGAATTACAATTAAACATTTATTATTTCTTGTGTGGTGTAATACAATTGGTTACCAACTTTGAATAATGTAAAACAGTGGTTTGCCATAAGAAAATAAATATTTAATGAGCACATTGTATTTCTCATAGTTGGACACATAAGGAATAAAATGTTATGTTAATGAATTTCTAAGATCCAAAAAAAAATGCTATTGTCTATTAACTACTAAAAACATACATCTTGTTATTGTGTAAACGTAGTTATTCAATTCTAGTTTCATAAACAGCTTGGTAACAAAAAAAATCACTTTTTTTGCATTAAATTCAAAAAGAAAATTTTTTTAAAATTTCTTTTTTAAAAAAGCCAAAATCGAGTGAATACTTTGCAGGCAAAATAATTGAGAGCATAATGTAAACCTTTTAAAAAAGTTGTTAACATTATAAGTATACAGTGAAATATACAGGAAATACTGGAAAATCAGTTACAATGAATTAAGCAGAAACTACTAATTATAATGTTTTCTTACTTCTAAAGGTTTGTAAAGAACTTTCTCATCCATGAAATTCATATTTTGTGGCATTATGCATTCTAATAATCCAGCATTTATAAAAGCCTGTCCCATACTCACAGCATCTGTTCTGTAAAGCATACACATAAGAGAGAAAAATAAAATTTGCTTCTAGAAATTTAATTATAAAATTAAAAAATCAGCAACCTAAAGCGTATATGATAGATCATTACATTTAAAAAGCTTAGAGTACGAAAATTCTTAGAGACATTTTTGAAGCAATTATGATGCCTTGGGAAAAGATCTTATTTTAGACTTATTTAATTATAGAACATTTACATTTATTTACTATATCAAGTGCATAAAGTTTGAAGATTTCAGTGGATTAAGGTAGTATTTGACTATCTTTAATTGTGTTCCCTGAGAAAGTAACAAGAAGCAAAGAAAAAAAAACTCAATGCATTTCATCAACCTAACAAACATTTTGATTTCAAAGGCTTGCCAAATTGACCTTAACAAATCTTTGAAAGCATCTATTTTTGGTATCAAATGAAAACACAAGAAGTGTCGACAAAACGAGGTGAAAAGTTTAAACAGGCATTAAAAGATTCATTGATTATTTTTTCCAGTTGAAAGTTTAAGGACAAATAAAAGAAAGGAATAATCTATTATTGCACAGTGAATTTCACTGAATTCGAGCATGTTAACATTAAAATACCAACTTTAAAGTTAGTTAACTGGAATTCATTAACGAATCACTTATTTCTTTTATGCACTCGTCATTTTATTTGCAACACCTCAATAAAAACAATATGAAAAAATAAGTAAAGACAAATGATAAACAATTTTAATGCATAAAATTTTTTCGCACATTGAATTTACAAGATTTAAAAGGAATAGTAATAAAAATTACAACATAAATTTTTTTAAAAGGAAAATTTTAAAATGTAACTTACCGTGATAAACTGACATTATGATCAACAAGCCAGTCGACAATGTCACACCCAAGGACAACTTTTGTATGGTGATCTTTATATTCTTGTTTCCATAAAGACACACTTTGAACAGTATTAAGTAAATCTTGCATGATTTCTTTCAAATGTGTTCTATCCTGTAAAATAATTTAGAAAATGTGCAACAAATTAATAAAAAAAAAACTAAAAAATTACTTAATGTTTGTTGTTTCTTATTTCACTTTATCGAAAGCAACATCAAGATCAAGTTCATAAACCCATAAGTTATCAAACAATGTAGAACTTGAATGGGTGTTTGAAATAATGAAATACATTTTAATGTAATTTGTAATTATATTTACCTCCTTAAAAAATCTTGGTATTCCATAGAAACAAATATTTGATTATTATTTTTATAATAACCTAAATTATAAACTGAGCTATGATGGCTCATTGGTTAAGACACTAAACTTTCATAGAGCAGAACTGTGGCTTGATCCCCAGTGGCAGTTTAAAGCCTACGAAAGCTTCAGACCAATAGGTACTAGCCTGTCTGGGAAGTAAAAGCGACACTGTGCACAATGCTAACAACATTTCCACAATCATATTGTTAGTCCCGAAATTGAGGAGTCTTTACCGCCAAGACAACTCTATTAAAGGAATATTTTATTTTTAATTACAAATTAGTAATTCCTGAGAAACAAAAATGTAACTGATTAATACCTAAGTTGGAATTTTGAAATAAAATTTCAATTTTTTACTGTTGTGTTATAAAAAAAAACATGCAAAATTCATCAAATAATAATATTATGCAGAAAAAAAGGAAATAGAGTAAAATCTAGAATTAGGTGTGATAGCAAAAAAAAAAGTATGTTTAAAACAGTATTTACTAATATATTTGCTAAACTATCATTTGTGATATAAGCCTATTGGTTGCACACACTTCAATCTCAGCAAGTATTAAGTTAGCAATAAGTTCTATGTAGATGATACATTAAACCTTATCTTTCCAATCCAATTTGATAAATTAGAATAATAAATTAATAAATAATTAAATATAATTATTTTGAGCTAATTCAAACACTTCTTTCAAATTTGACTGAAAAATGTCTATAATATTAACTGAATGCTGACACATGATGTCATTGATAAAACTTTAAAGAAAAATTAAAAATAATTTAAAATAAACTTAAGTCTAAAAAATAATTCATGCCAGCTTAAAATTTTTTTTAAATATTAAAAAGGAATGTGAAAAATAAAAAGTTAATGTAAAAGAAATGTAACAGTATAATTTCTCTAAATTATGAAATAAAGATGGCAAAGAACTTTTGATTAAACATTTCTAAACTGAAAACAATATATAAATATTGTTGTAAACAAAAGTAATTTGAATTATGCAATCTTTTCATGGTTACTATGACTACTAAAAATGAAAGATTTGAAGATTTTACTAAAAAGTATGAAAAAAAAAATTGCCATATTAAAATTTGCTGTAATTTTTCATTCCAAGTTTCATTTTTTTATTGCATGCTTATTATAAAAATGATAGTAAGAAAATCTACTTTCTTGATAAAAAGATGAAACATGGGATAAAAATTTTAAAAATGATAATGATATAAGAAAAATTATCAATATAATTTAATGAAAATTAAACTTTTTGAAGTTAGTTTCATTTGCATCAATTTATAGGAATCTGCAAATTATAAAAATAATTTCTTTTGCTATACATTTGTTATAATTTATTATCTTTTTACATGAAGTTTTGCGTTTTTTATCAAGAAAGTAAAATTATTTAAGTATTTCAGCACAAATTTTTAATTTCTTACAGAAAAAAGTAACAAAAGGGGTAAGTATCATATATTAGAATAAAAATTCCATAAATAAAAAAAAAAGTTATTCATTAACTTTGAGGAGGTAAAAATTAATTAAAATTTATATAATAAAATTACATACTAGTTAAAATGTATTTATAAAATACAGTAGGGAACCGATTATCCGGAACGATCGGGACCATCGCTATTCCGGATAACTGATTTTTCCGGTTTTCTGAATCGCTACAAAAAGCCGTTTTTTTTATTGAAATAATTATATTGTTTTTTGAAATAATCTTAAAAAGAAGAAAAAACGATGGAGCAATACACTAATGATTATTTCCAAAATGATGGTAAGAAAAAAGAACGAAAAATCCTAAAATTTTATAAGGAAAAAAAAAAATTTTTTATAATGGTGGGAAAATTTATCGAATTTCGTTCCGGTTTTTTGGTTTTCCGGTTTTCTGATTTCCGGATAACGGGTTCTGTACTGTACAATTGAAAACGTTTGGAAATGCACAAAAACCAACATTTATTAGAGATATTTAGTTTTTTTAAAAAAAACTATAAAGATTCTTGGTATACATTATCTCATACATTAAATTTCTTTTTAAAAATCATTGTCTAAACATTACTTTTTTAAAATAAAATATATTAATTTAAAATACATTAATTTAAAATATAATAATGATAATCAAAACAAATTTTAGCTAATTTTATTAGTTTATAAATATGAAAAGATGTAAATTTCTTAAATATAACTTGAAAAATTTCAGCAGTTAGTATTGAAACTTGTTATCTCTTTAAATTATATCAGACCAGAGTAAAACTAAACTAACATATAAACTACTATATAAACACACAGTTAAAAAATTAAATGTATATTACCTGAATAGGACCTTCAATTTTTTGAGGACGTTCTCTAATGGGCATATTTGTTATAGCAGTTCGAAAAGATCTATAAAAAGTATTATACATCAAATATTTTCATTAAAACTACACCAAAATGTCAATTGAAACAAATAAAAATATATTCGACAAAAAGCATAGCAAATTAAGATTCAGTTTATAAAAAAAAAAAAAATTATTGAATCTCAATGATAGATTTGAATGAAATCAAATCTGAAATTTTTGAATAAAAGCTGAATTAATTGCATATAATCCATAAACAAGTTGATGAAAAAATTTCATCCCTGATGTTGAATAGGTGACCCATATTAGATTTATGGCTACAGCAATTTTCAACTCCATAACCTTCCAATTTTAAACACAACCTAGAAGGCAAGGGAACACCTCAGTCAAACACCATAAAACTTCCCATGATTAGTACAAGGAAAGGAGACCTCTAACCCATACTTTGTTGATTGGAAATATTTTTTGTCAGTATTATAGTGAGTGTGAGCTAGGATCAGCATGCCAACTGATTAGCCATTACTCGGATTTAAACCTGGGTCACCTCATTAGGAGGTGGTTACTCTATTCCAATAATGAAATAATTGAATAAAACAGACTTTAAATTTAATTGCTTTAAATGAATATAGGTTTAATGTCAAAAGGTACAAATTAGGACCAGGGTACGAATGCACTAAACTTCAGATTTCAAAATACATCAACAGTTAAATATAAATACAGTATTTTAACAGAAATATGGCTATGGCATATTTTTAGTGTGTAAATGCAATGTCAATGATTGGGTATATCAACATGATGGTTTGGAAAAACTTAAATATTGCCTGGGGCTTAACCTTCCTAATTGTGGTTTAATATCTATTAATTATATAACTAGGTCAAATTGTTTCTTGAACATTGACAAGGGAATATGCTTAAGTTGCTAAAAAAATTAACTATTTTTTTTATCCCCTGCAAACTTGCATGTAGAATTCAAATTCATTTAATAAATAAAGCAAATATGCATTCAAGAATTATTCAGCGATAATAAATCTAATTAAACTTTAAGAATTTTATTGCTGAAGAAAACAAGTACATATTTCCTAAAGAATGAAACTTGTATTTTTGAAAATTATAATTCAAAATATGCAAAAAATTTTTCAATGCAATAGGACCTATATTTAATGAGAAGCTCGGAAACACATAAACGCTCATTAATTCTGTGTGCCTGTTAAACTTGAATTCAATGTTAATAAAAAAAAAACTTAACCCTATTGTTTGATTACTTTAATAATGATTGTCTTTAAAAATATGTTGGATTTCTTTGTCTATTTCTCTACGATGCTGAGGTCTTTTCTCCAATAATTATGTACAAAAAAACTTTAATAATTTTCAACAATAGATAGTGCATAGAGCAATTGTTTTTCCATTTCCAATATTTTTTGCAATATCCAAAATTATTAACCTCTTTAATCTCTTCTTGTGAAAAAAAATTTAATAATAAAATAATACAAAACTATGCATTTCAAGAATTATACCAAACAAAAAACTCCATTTTCCTCTGTAAATTTGAAATTTTATTAAGTGTAGGCTCATAAGTGATGCCCGGTGGCTGAGCGGTAGCACTTCCCGCTGTCGTGCCACAGGTCCCTGGTTTGATCCTCGGGCCGAGCAAGGCTGACTCAGCCTTTCATCCCTTCAGTGGGTCGATAAATGAGTACCAAGCATGCTTGGGAACTAAACACTGGGGGTTCCGCGTTCGGCTGACCACCTGACCGGAACATCAGCTCCTGCACCCCAGAGCCCAAGGTCAAGAAAACTGAGATGGGCACAGTAGGTCTTGGCCCTCAAGGACTGTCGCGCTGCTGAGTTTAGTTTAGTTTTTAGGCTCATAAGTGGGTAATTTAAATTAACTTTAAAAATTAGAAAAATCAGTGTAATTGACAAGTAAAACATTGGGTACTATCCTTTTGTATTGAAATTTAAGAAAAATTTATAAAATCAATATGAATGTAACACCTATATTATACAAAATTAATATTATACATTACAAAGAAAATATAGATTACTTTGCTCTCGCAATGTCTTCCTCCCGAAATCCAATAACAGAGCTTTTCCTTCTAGCAGGAGAAATGATACTTTGTTTTGGACTTGGGGCAGTTTCTGGTTGGGATTCAAATCTAATCTTCTTCGGCTGACTTTCTTGAAAAGCTTGTCCCTCTTCATAAGCACACATATTGGTATCTAAAGACCGCACACATGAAAGAACCATCTTGCAGCAGTAGGAACACACACGGAGATCTTCTGCAAAACAAAACATTACTGAATGTTTAATTCTATTATTATGCTAATACATAGAACAAGAGTTTCATTTACAAAAATTATTTAAATAGTTTCCATTTATTTTCAAAAAATATAATTTGTGATTAATATTGAAAAATCAGTGCAAATAACTATTAAAAATCACAATACTCATTTCATCAAAGGAAAACATTACTAATTAAATTTTTACTTTTAACTGTGATTAATTAAACTGAGATTTTTAATCAATAAACTTGTTTAAAAATATATTTTTAAAAAAAGATAAGGTCGCTTTTGTTTTAACAAATTATGAACTTTAAACATGAAATGTTAAAGATTTATTTTATTTTATTTATTTATTTATTGAGTTTTGAGTCTAATCAATTCATCTTCTACATAATTATATATTTTAAAATTAATAAATATAATCTTAAAAATCAAAGTTATTGTAAGATTACAATTAGTAATGAATAATAACTTATTAAATATCAGTAAAAAATATAATAAGAATTTGTTTACACTAAAAGTTATACTTTGGACACTTTAATACACTTTTGGATTGGTTTCATATGCTGAGTAGCAGAATGAATGTGAAGTACTATCTCCTTAAATCTAAATTTGTCTGCGATTTCAAAACAGTCAAACAGAGATTATAATTGAAAAAATTCAACTTAATCTAACAAACAGGTAACATAATATGCAAATATAAGGTCCATATAGATAAAATCGAGTAACAGAAAAAAAATTCTTTACTTTTTGTTCTTTGTGGAGTTCTCAATTTTTAATTTTTAATTTTATTAGAAACAATTAATTTTATTAGAAACTTTTTAATTTTATTAGAAACAATAAGTGTTTTTAAAAGAAGTCTCAGCAATTTCATCTCATTTGTTTGGTTTATTTTAGAAAAAAAATTTAGAAGAAACATAATCTGCAGCACCCACTGCTGTGTTGGAGGTTATCTGCTACTAGGGCTCGTGAGAATGATCCAAAATCAGTTTTGGACAAACAAACCCCAATCCATACCTGCCAACTTTTACGCATTTAGCGTAAAATTTTATTTTTATATTTAAAGTGGTAGTAAAATTATGCTTTCTGTATATTCCTTACATTTATAAGTTTAATTTATAATCTTTTTGACCACCACTAGTTTTAAAAAAAATCAAGCATATATATAAATATGTATATGTATAATTTGCATGAGCTTTTTCAAAATGCAGCGTATATTTCTGCATAAAATTGTAATTTAAATTCCGCTTTATTACCACTCGGGAAAATCATGCTCGTAAGGATTAGAAGTTGGCAGGTATGCCAATCCTTCAGAAAATTTTTGCTTTTTTTTAACTTTTAATGCTTAAAAATAAAATTCGTTATATTGTTCAAAATAAAGCAATTATTTAAATTGAATACAACTTACATGTCTTAGATAAATAATTCAGAAAATTTTTTTTCAGTTAAAATAAAAGCAAGCATATAAAAACATATTTATTTTCAGATAGCTATATGAATGTCTAGATTTAGTTCTTTGATTATCATGAGTTTTGGATACAATGGTAAAATCAAAGATATAAGTCACAGTTTTTACCATCCTATCAATTGTCGAAAATCTTTTTTACCATAGCCAATTTAGCAGGAGTTACATTTTAACATTACTAATACACTATTTTAAAATACACTATTATACAAAAGTAAACAACTTGTTAATTAAGCTATAATTAAAATGGATGTGTACAAAATATATAAATAGAAAAAAATAACTGAATTCTAATAATTTGGTTTTTAACAGTTTAAGGTGATTCGAAACAAGAAGTTTAATAAATATCTCTTGAGTCTATAAAATAATTATCATTTTTCAAAATACATATAATTATAAAAATACGATGGATTGTAAGATTTCAATTGATAATGAACAAACAGTTATCTCTTATATGCAATAAGTGCATAGTGTATTTGGAGTTGTAAGTTTTTAAAATAGTAAAAGATATACAAGATATAAAATGAATTATAAAATGCTAGTCTTAAATTGACACTAGCAGAAATTAGCTGACACTTCGAATGCATAAAATAATTAAGATATTTACCAGTATAACCAATTAGATCACCAGCAATTTCTTGACTACAGCAGCGCCAACAAAAGATTTGGCCGCAAACACGACAGTGATGCCTTCTTCTGAAAGTTGTGAACTTTTCGCCACAGTCGTAGCATTCTTTACAGTTGCTGTCACGCATCCAATGTTGTTTAAAATCGCTGTCTTTATAACTTTGAAGACCCTAAACCAAAAAAAAAAAAACTTTAAATAAGAATCTAAAGCACAAAAAAAATTTATAGGTAGAATATTTTCAATTGTTATTTGACTATCTATATATTTAACATAATTTCATATAATGTAAATTTATTGGCCTATGCCAGCATACATTAAATTATAATGTATGATGGTTGTCCTCCGGCTGTTCATATATTTAATAGAATTGCATTGAATGAGGGTAGGAATGAGAATGTGTGGTACATAGATCAGTTAGTGCTCCCCAACCTTTTTATCACCGCGGACCTGTCAACGTTTGATAATTTTACCGCGGCCCACTGGGGGGGAGGGGCGTTGATTGTTTATAGTTTAGATTATTTTGATTTATTAATTTTAATTTAATTGTATTTAAACATGCCTTCAAAATAAAATACAGTTACACCAAAAATAAATATAAAGTGATTTAACATTTTAACTTACTAGAACGTTAAATGAATGAGAACCCTGGGCTTGTTTCTTTGCAATGAGACGGTTCCATCTGGGGGTAATCGGAGACAATGATATATTACAAACATTGAAAAATTTACGTCACTACCTTCAGGGGGCCCCTTTTTTTAAATAAATAAAATTTTAATGGAACACAGATATTTCTAATTATTTGGGGTATAAACCTAGGAATTTAAATTCAGTGTCAATGAAATGGGCGGCCCGGTACTATTTGATCAACGGACCAGTACCGGGCCACGGACCGGGGGTTGGGGAACACTGGGCTAGGTGATTAGACCACCATATGTTCTCCAATCTAAATTTTGAAAGTGTAGTGTGTGCATGTACTAGTATTGTATTAGTATCATCAAGATGAATCCCAGGTCATTCCCAATGGTTCATTTGTGCAGCTTTAATGTGATGTAAATGAACAAAATAATTAAATATTTAACATTGTAATACATAATTATATTAAGTTTTAAATTAATATATTTAGCAGGATATATACATACATCCATTAATTTTTTATTGTTTATCCTTCATATCCTTACCTTAACCATTATCCTTTTAATCTCAGCTATGCTATGATTTTTTTGCTTTTCACTTTTAAGATATTCATGTTATATAAATATATTTTAAACAAATATACATTCTCATAATTGCAAATATGATTAATATTTTTAACCTTTCAATAAGTTAACAGAAGCATTTTAAAAGATATAACAATCAGAGTGTGCAGTCGAATTTGCTGATATTCACCAATCCCGATGATTGCTTCGCAATAATTGCTGTTTCTTGGCAGAAAAGAGTTGAAATTATTCAACTAAAAATATATTTATTGAAAAGAACACTTGTGCCTTTACTTCCCATATCCAAATATTTCTCTTATGATACTATTAAGATCTGTAAGTAAACATACATAATTTTTCTAAGAAATCATTTTTTGAAATAACATTTAAAATTATAAGTATATTTTTAAAACAAATTTGGTGAGTTCGCAACTACAATTTTTGCATTCATCACTTTATTCATGAAGCTGAAAGTTAAGCTCTAAATCATTTAACAGTCTCTTTAACCGTAATTCTTAAAAGTATATTAATGTAACTTGCACCAAAAAATCAAAATTTTAAATTAAAATTAATAAGATCAGACACCTATTTCAATAACTTTATCTTAAAATGTAACAAAGAATTACTTTATTCTAATAATAATAATAATAATAAAATCAATCCACCTAAACTCTTAATTTAGAAATCAAACAAAATAAAAAGTGTAATAATAAGGGTACAGGAAATTCTATCCTTTAAATTAGGAAAACAAAAATATTACAAGGAAAATAATAACTTTATGACTTTATCAATTTTATGCTTATGACAAATAAACCAATATAAAAATTAATGTGGGAAAACTGGATCCTACCATGTGGTTTTCTAGCCAAAATAATGTATTTACAACAATGAAAAACTGTGCACCATCAATAGATTTTTATATATAGTAGGAGTTGGGATATGTGCACTAATAAAAAAATTATCTTCCTATTTTTGAAAGTTCTTCAGATATACATTAACACAATGCAAAGTAATTTTCAAAGACAAAATGCATAATCATGATTAATAACTAGTTTCAGATAAAGAACCCTTTTCTGGATTACAATAGCCACTATGAAAACAATTTATACATAATTTTAAATATATTCAATATTGAGTAGGTCATTTTATTTTTTAAATTAATAATTACTTTATTTAATTACTTAAAGAAATTTAATTCAAAATTATAATTAATTTAACTATTATTTGAAAAGTTTATCAAGCATATTTTTAGATTTAAATAAAAGTTATTTATAAAAGCATATTCAAAAAAACATTAACAAGATTAATATTATTGATCATACCAAATTTATAAAGATATGTAAAGAATTAAGCAAACTAAGAAAACTTTAATAAAATTATATTACAAACTGTATAAGAAATAAAAACTGAATAAGAAAACTTTGATCTATTCATATTACAGATGAAACAAAATTAGTGAATGGCCTCCTAATAAATTTTTATTGAAATTTGTTACTTAGTTCAGCATTTCTAGAAAGAAATTATTTTAAAAAAATGCAAATAATTTTGATATGTAAATACAATGAGTATTGAAGCTCACAGAAATAAATTAGTATTTGGTTCTCTTGCAGCTGAATATTAATAAGTTTACTATGAAGATTTTAAAAGTAATTATAGAGTAATAAAAAGTAACAAGTAAAAAAAAAGTAATAGAGTATAATAAAAAATTTCAACTATCCAATTAGTGGATGGTCTCTCAGTTAAAAATCTTACGAGAAAAAATCTTCATTAATTCTTGTCTTTATTAAATTAAATGAATAAAAGGGAGATGGAAATTTCGAGATGATGAAGCTTTATGATTCTTAAGTGCTCTAAAGACAAACATGAAAATATGTAATTAGTGAATAATCCCCAAGACAAGTTCAAGGATTATGGTATGGATCTATAAATAGAAGAGCTCAAGAAGAAATTAGCTTGCCAGTGAAGAAGACAATGGCGCTTCACCAAAGATAAAAGTAACAAGAAAAATAAATGTTTCTGTTGATAGTAGGGGGAAAAATATGCAATATTCAGTTGGTCCCCATGACCAGCAAAATTCAAGAGATTTTTCAGTTCGATTTCAGAGTGAGGAAAATGAAGCCTAAAATTGAGAATCTCTTGCAAAATGCAGCAGATATGCACATAAGAGAGCAAGAATCCTTCCCACTGAATCTAGCTCAGTATACATACATGTGAACCCGTAAGTATTTCATCAAACATCTAAAATGTTTGACACTTTCACACACTATGAACCAATGGTTAGCTAAAATTGATTGTGGTTGAAAGAATTGTACAAATGCTGAATGGAATAATGTGAAAACCATGCTTCATGCTTGTGGTGAAAATCAACATAATAAAGAAAAAATATCTCATTTTGGAAAAGGGAAAATTAAGCATTTTTTAAAAACACCCAAAGAAAAAAAGCACCATTAAAAGCTTTCAAAAAACAAAAATCGAAAATAAGCATCTTTCAGCTCTTTTAAAAAAATTTACACACCCGGACAATATAAATAACACAGTTGCAGCCTGATATTGTGCTTCCAGAAGATTAGTCAGGACTTAAATTAATGACAGAAAATAATTTGTTGACAAAAGCAATAAAAATCTTGATCCTAGGAAAATGGGTGTACTCAAATAAGGTAAAATTTCATTACATGTAAGCATATATATTATTTTACTATATATTAATATTTTTTCTACACAAACTTTTTGTTATTAAAGAATATTAATACACAAATAATGACTGACCTTTTTCTTCTTGTCAATAATATTGTCCACTATTTTCCCTAAAATACCTGCCATGCCACGATTTTCCTCAGCAGATATTTCAGGAGATTTATTTGAAAAATTGGATTCATCAGTAATATAATAAGGTTCAGAAGTGGGAGAAGTTTCAGGAGACCCTTCAGCAGATTTATCCTGAGTTTTCTTTTCAAAGGTTGTAGATTTTTCTAGAAGAGAAAAAAAAATTTCAAAAAACCATCTGAATAGGAGATGAAACTTTTTCAATATTTAAAGGAAAAAATAATCCCTCAAAAAATAAAATTTGTTAAAATTTTAATACGAGTATTAAGATGATGGTTAATAAACTCAGTTTCTAAAATCAGATACTAAACACAGCCAAAAAATGAGAAACAGAAGCAATAAGTGTCAGAATTTTTAGCAATAAACAAAGGTATTTTATTTTGATCGCATTTATAGAATTAATGTTTAAGCAGTTCCACTAAAATTTTTATTCAAGACATTCAAGAAAGTAAATTATATTTCTCATGAATAATAGATGATAATCTTACTTTTTCATGAAAAATGCTTAAATTTTCTCATTTTAATATTTTTCGAACCTTAAAAAAATGAAACCCATCAAGTATTTAGAACATGATAATTACTTTTTTTTTTGTATGAGAAAATGTTGTACATAAAATTACCAAGGAAAAAAAATAAGATTAAATCAATGAAAAAAATTAAAAGGAAAGAAAGGACATTATTATAATCGAATAACAATACAACAGATTGATGCGATTAGTTTTGTTTTTTTTTAACGAAACAAGTTGCCTTTACAAATTTTCTGTATCAGGTTTCTCTATCCATAATAAAGCATTGAGAGGTAGTATGTAATTGATAAAAAAATTAGGTAAATGTAATAAGTAAAAAAAAAAGGAACTAAACTAGATTTTTAATTTTAATTTACAATGTTGAACAAACCCATGAAAAGTTTCAGAATATTAGCCCTAAACTAGTTACAGCAAATATGGCAAAGCCTGAATTCATAAAAAGGTTGAAAACCATAATTCTTACAGAATTCTAGAAGCTCTTACTTTAAAAAAATATGTATATACAGAGCCTACACTAAGCATTTGTCACTTCACTAAATGCGCTGTAAAAAATAATTGAGCTTTGGCGAATGATTTTTTAGAAAAATATATATTCTTCTCAATCTTGAAAAAAAAGTCAAAAGTCAAAGGGAATTTTTTTATCAAATCCTGTATTTTTCATTGGATTACCATAATTTCCATTAGATACGTTTAATAACCAATTAGAATTAAGTCTAGACAATGTAAGCATCTAGAGAGATTATTTGAACATGAGACAAACTACCGTAAAATATAGATATCCACGTTCGTTGCCGGATCAAGCAATATCACATGACATTTTTCCTGACTGTTTATGTCAATAAAACAGATTAAGTGGTAGCAAAATGCACGCTAACATTGAACTACTTTGCAGAAAATATGTTTCTTCATGACAATAGCATAATACTAAACTTACCATTTAAACATGATACTTAGCATTTAAATGTGATATTGTTTTGAAATAATATTGACTTAAAAATAAAATTGAAAAACACAAAACAAACTTGATAACAAAAATTTTATCAGTCTAGCGAGAAACCACACAAAAGTATGAGTTTTTAATCTAATAAAAATGCATTTAAAAAATTGGAAGCGCAATTCAATTTTAATAAAAAGTTGTTTTTTAACAGTAAACACACTTAAAATTTTCTACTTTATGCTTTCTAAAATTACTAGATGTATTCAAGCCATGTACTAAGGAAAGAAAAGACAATATGATATACTTTTAAGTAAAATTGCAGCATCATAAAATGATTAAACTGAAGAATGATTGTAAAAAATTAACTTAATTGAAAAAGTCATCTGCACAACTATTATTATAAAGGAAACAAAACTCTGAAATTTTAATAAAATATGATATATAATTCTTTAAAAAGCAACATATAAAAATTATATAAAAATAAAAATTTAAAAACCTACTTAAAAACCAATAAATATAATTTACTTAAATTTACCTTTGCTCCTGAAAAATATATTACGTATGGAAAATGATTGTGATTTTGATTCGGGACTTAATGGTGCAAAAGAAGTTAAAGATGTTTGGCTCTCCAATTTCTTAGCCATGATAGTCTTGTCTATATATTAAAAAAAATAAACATTAATTAAACAATGAAAATGATACTAAGAATAGCAAATGACAGTAAACATAGCTCTATAGTTCTTAAAAAAATAATTTCAAAGGAAATGAATAATTGAATGGCTACGCAAATTTAAAACCTTAAAAGGTAAGAAAGTATTTTATTGTTGCAATAAAATATCATTTATAAAAAAATTAATTAAACTACTTATTTTATTAAGCTTTAAAAGAAGCATTTTTGGGTTTTAAATTGATTAGCTAAGAATAAAAAAATAATAGTCAATAAATAAATAATAAAAAAACCGCTTGAACATTAAAACTAAAAAAAAACTTTGACATGTCAGCAACAATCCTCTTTAATTACTCTATTTTTAAAAAGAGTAATTTTTGTTGTTCTTCTAATGATTCTATCCCCTCTGCAGAGGATCAAAATTGCGATGGCATGTCTTCGGATAATCCTAAGGGATGCTTGCCAGACCATCGCCAATAGCCCATTGTGCAGTTCTAGTGCGAAATAAATGAAGTATTTACCTACCTAAAAATTGCATAAAAAAATAATAGTAATAAAAGTAACTATTTATGGTTTCCCATTGATGAAATTATCCAATATAACTTTTTCTTTAACTTAATAATAACTTTTGATTTAACTGACTAAGATTCAATCTTAATAGTTTGAAGACCTAGCCTTGATTATGTTAATTAATTAGGAAATTTTAATAAATGCAAACAATATTTTCAAGTTATGAAAGCAGACACAAAAATGTATTTTCTCTAAATAAATATACTTTTTTTAGAGATTCAGATTCTTGACCTTCCCAAATGAATGGTAGTCACAATCTGAAAAATATTGTCCCAATAATGTAATTTTACTTTTTGCGTATCTTGCCCAATTTCGAGAACTTTTTAAAATAATTTTAAAAAAATTGCACTCAATTATAAAATTTCTTTGTCGAAAGAAACTTCCATGCAAAGAATAATCTCAATAATTATTTATTATTATTTTATTCAATAATAGTCAAAAAATTTTTAAATGTAAGATATACAAATTTTCGGATCATTTTAAAGAATGTAATTTTAAACATCAATATACAAAATTTGATTGTAATCAATCAAATAGTTCAAAAGAATGACATTTTAAAAATATAACTTTTTGAAATCCAATATTTTGATTCTTCAAATGAATTACTTTAAAATCTGCTTCGACTCATAAAAAATGGGATATTGTTCTGAGCACAGCAAAAATCACGAACAAATAGAGACAAAATATTTTTATCAGGAAAATAAGAACAAATACAAACCCTGAAATGGAAACTGTCTTAAAACATTTTTAATTTGTCTTCACCCACATGCATTTCTTGCAGCCACTTTATAATCAAATTATTCTGAAATAAATAAAAAGATAAAATAACGTCATGTTTTAGTAAGGCTCTTAACAAAATGAATCCAAATATATATGTATGTATATTTTTTTTAATGTATGACTATTTGCTAGGTACAAGCATAATAAGGATTAGATTGACTAAGAAAATTTTTGCTTGCATTGAGCCTCTTATCATTTTCCTTACTTTAAGTTGTTTTGGTTCTTCAAGCTTTATTTATTTAAATATTATAAATACATGGAAAATCCTTACTTTTAATCCAAAATAAATATGTATACATAAAACAGGCAAACCTGCCTGTTTCACAATTGAAGGTAGAGAAGAAAAATTTGAAATGCAAAAATTCAAGCTTATCAAAATCCACACGATATCAACAGAAAAACGAAAGGAAAAGAAAGCTTTTTTCATACTTTTTTAAAAAATAATTCATTTTCAATTAAACTAGAAAATATAATTTTTAAAAAAAGAGGGAGATTTCAGTGCTATTTGCTTAAGAATAATATTTTATCAATTACACCATCAAAGTGGACAACTTTAAATATTCTTTCTAAAATATTAGGTTAACTTTCAACATATTTTTTCAAAGTGTCTTATGACATGTAATATTACTTTATTAGAAAAGTTAGTTTTCAAAACATTTGAATTCTACACAAAATTGTCTATTTTTTAAAAAAAATAGAAGGAAGGAATATCTATACTCTTCTATCTAAATTAAAATCAATAAAACTTTTCAGTCTGTTATAGAACAGTATCATCAGAACAGCTTGGAGAGGGCACTAGAAGCTCTATATTGTGGAAATGTCCCATTTCTAACTTTTTCAGGTGCAGTATCAGATAACTTAAGTGTGAGACAGCACAGACACACATTTACCCGTTGCTTCCTTCATCCCTTATTACAGTAGTTATGATGAAAAGAAAATATTTTTTTAAAAGATAAATTTGCTTTAATAATCATTCAATCAATCAATTCAAAATCATTTTCAATTTCTTCTCATTTTCAATTCTATTTCTTATTGCTGTTCATGTCTTTCTTGTTTTGATAAAACTATCCCTATCCCCTCATTTGAGAGAAAGATTTTGCGGAGTATACTTGGTGGTGTAAATGAAAACAATAACTGGAGAAGGAGATTTAACTTTGAACTGTACAAGATTTATAAACAGCCTGATATTATTAAATACATAAAAATAAATAGAATGAATTGGATGGCCCATGTGATTCAAATGAGTGATGACAATACAATAAAAAAGATACTGCTTTTTTGACCCACTGGAACGAGAAAGCGGGGAAAGCCGCGATTGAGATGGGCTGACTCAGTGGAGTCTGATTTTCTCGCAATTAATGAAAAGAATTGGAGATCAAAGGTGAATCAGAAGTCGCCATGAAGAAATCTTCAGAGGAAGGCATTGGCTCACATTAGGCTGTCTGGCCAACTATGATGATGATGATCCCTATTCCCTTTAGAACTTAGTAGGAAGAAAAAAAACCAATAGAAAATATTAGTAGTTACTGTGCATGCATTAAAAATGACTAAAAATTGCTAGGGCAACAATAAACAAGAATTTTTAATTCCTGTTTTAATAGATTAAATAGAATTTTAATTTCTATTTTGTTACTATTTGTAGTCATTACATCTCTTTAAAAATTTTATCCAGGATGTACTGGTAAAATTTGGGAAAGTTTTTCTATTTTCACAAAAGTACGTTTTCTAAATTTTTTTCATACTTAAAAGAAAATATTTATTGCAGTTGTGAAAAACCAAAATCAAAGAAAAGGTAAGGTATAAATGGTATTCAAGAAAATATTTATTGCATTCGTGAAAAACCAAAATCAAAGAAAAGGTAAGGTATAAATGGTATTCAAGGTAAAATCGAAGAAAAAATTCTTTAGTAAATAAATTTTTTTTAACATTGAGTGCTAGAAAATTTAAAAGAAAAAATTTTTTAAAAGTGTTATCAAAAAATTTATAGGAAGTAAGCTAGGTTTGACTTTATACATACCTCCAGACTTTCCCTTAAACTATTTATTAAAAATGCTGCTTTGAAAATGTTCTCTTCATTTGAAAATATGATTCTAACTTCAGTAATACGATTCTTTGATCATTAGACAAACTTGGAAGGCAGGTAAAAAAAATCATTGAGAATTGCATATGAATTCATGACAGGAAATGGCATTGTACGCCATTAGTGGTGCTTTCCTATTATGAACTGTTTCTGTACCTTTAAACAGTTACTTTTATTTATTTAAATTACCTTAAATTATTTAATCTTTATTTAAATTATCTTGATTTCTAATAATTCTTGTCTAAAATTACATGAAAAACATAGAAATAGCTGTTTTATAGTAAGATAATTTAGATAAATAAAAGTATTTATTCAAAGGCACACGTAGAAGCAGTTCATAATAAGGAAGGGCTACCGGCAGCAATGCCATTTCCGGGCACGAATTTACAATTCTTAACCTTTATGACATGCCTGACTTCCACTCCAAGTTTGTCACATAATCATAAATTCAATCTGAAGAGTAGTAATTTCAATATTTCTTAGATCAAAATATTAAAAAAATCAACTTTCAGACAAAATAGTCTCAAAACAATTGTCAAAAGTAAATTAGATGAGCATGTTATGCTACAAGCCATCAATAATACCCTAAAACTAATTAGGTCCATTACCCCATAATGATTGAAGATTAGTATTTATTAAAATTAAGTAAAAATTAATCTAAAATAATGTTAAAGTTTCAGAGAATGTTTTTGAAAATTCAGACATTAGTTTAAGTGAATGATTTTGAAAATTAATGTTTTAAAAATTGAACAAATTTCTTCTAAGAAAGAAAATATTTCTGCGTTATCTTTCTCAGCCCTGTCACATATTAAGTAAATAGTAAGATATGAGGCAAAACTTAAATTTTAAAGTGATACTTGTAATATTTTTGTTTTCAGAATATAAAAATGAAAAGAACAAAGAAATCGCCATAAAGCTATTATTCATCGCACGTAAAAAAAAGATTTTAAAAAATTTTGCAATAGTGATAGGGACAATATTAACTTAATAAAGCTGTATTTAGCAGAACAAACCCGAAATTTCTCATACATAAAGGGGAGTGTCAAATATAAAATATGTGAATCGCTGAATAAAATTAATTCATTTCTTTTTAAGAATTACCTTTGAAAAAATGCAATTTGAAGTTTTACATTAGGTGCTTACAGAAAAACTCAATATATATTTACTTAATATTATGTAAATTACGTTAAGATGAAACAAAGAATAGTCGATGAATTACATTTTATTTTTCAAATAAACATAATTCATTCGAAAACATTCAAATTTAATCAGAGTAAAATAAATTGAAAATATTTTTGTAACTTGCTTTAATTTGAATTTCTGAGAAGATGACTTCAAATACTAAAATTTTATTTACTACAGTGGAAAATCGTTTCCGAATTTCTATTTCTTCTCTACGACTATCCTTTTCTCGTGATGACTGTTTACAAAATTAAATTAATGTCATGACTTTAAGCTTTCATTGATATATTTGTAATCCAAACAGTTTATAGATGGCAGTTACACAAAGCACCGCACCAAACGATTTATGTGAAATTGTTGTCCCATGAAATAAGTGATTTTTCAAAATAAATATTTGTGAAGAAACACATTTATGAGTAAATGAAGGAATGAACCTAGGCAATTTCTGTACTTTTATTTCTTCTTTTTTTAAAAATTATTTTTGTTGTTGTTGTTAATTTACGTCGCACTAGAGCTGCACAATGCGCTATTGGCGGCGGTTTGGGAAACATCCCGGAGGATGATCCAAAGACATGCCATCACAATTTTGATCCTCTGCGGAGGGGATGGCACCCCCGCTTCGGTAGCCCGACGACCAATTATTTTTGTGATGGGAGGGCTTTTTGAAAATTTTACTTTCGATTAATTGTACTATTAAAAAGCACATTACGTTATCAATCATTCAAAATAAATATATTCCTTTGAATGAAGTGTGTATTTTGTTTTTCTTTTTTCAAATAGTGATTGATTGCCCTGCAAACATTAGTGATTGTTGTTGCTGTAGTTAATTTAGGTCGCTCTAGAGCCTCACAATGGGCTATTGGCGACAGTCTGGGAAGCATCCCTGAGGATGATCTGAAGATACGTTATCACAATTTAGATCCTCTGCAGTGGGGATGGATGGAATAGGAACGTTTTCATCTACAGGAAAATTTAAAAAGTTGCCAGGAATCAAACTCCATACATTCCGATGAAGTTTTTAGGTACCCAACTTTCATTTCATTTTCAATTTTCTCCCCTCCTTTACTTTGATTATCCTCGCTTCCGAAAACATCGGGAGTTCCAAGTGGCATCCTTTGGCAAGTAATCGAAGGAACACAGCCACAAATTTTACTAGTCCAAGAAGCTATTAATATGAAAGCGTAATTAATTAAAAGAGTTTCATTCGATTGTTATTGTGTACGTATTCTATTCATAAAAAAACATAACGTACGCAATTTTTTTTTAATATAAATTCGTTATTGATTTCTATTGCCAATAATATGGTAAGATATAAAAAAAAGCATTGTGAAAAAGAAATTTTCTTTTTTTTTTTTTGCTATCTTGAGCAATGAATATTTTACAATGTATATCTGTTCAACTTTTTAAGATGGAAATTAAACCTTAATTCTAAATGGTAAACTGAAATTTAAGAAAAAAAAAGACGTTTCTGTGACAGAAGTTACCACATGGGCACTTTGGTTACCTTGGTTGAAGTAACTTTGGGATACCTAGCTTATCATTTTATAATCAACTAAAATGTACTCTGCTCTAGATCACAGCAAATCCTTCTAATATCAAGTATCGACAAAAAAAGTTAAAAATGTCCTTAAATATTTTTAATATATTAAAAATATTTAAGGACATTTTTAATTTTTTTTGAAAAATAAATTGATAAAAAATATATAAAATATATAATAAATTAATAAAAAAATAATTTTTAAAAAATATTTTTAGGGCAAAATAAATATTGTAATTAATAATCACATTACTACTGTTTATAATTAAACTTTAAAGTCAGCATCAAATATATTATTAGAAATTTTTGTTTGGAAATGGGATATATTTTTTTAAATTGAATTTCCTTTGTACTAGACATCGGATAGCTTTGCGGTGTCCAATATATTGCCCTTTTTTATTTTTATCTTAATTCATTTTGACGAAACGTGAATTATACTCACACAAATTGCAAAAATTTTATTAGAATTCTTCTGATCTGAGAAAAGACTATTTTCAAATCAAGCAAAATTTTTTTTATTCTTTTTAAAAATCAATGGTTAACAGAAAAAAATATTCATTAAATTAAAACAGTAGCCACTTTTATAATCGAAATTTTTTTTTGCATTACTATATATAAAAAGTCCAAGCCTTACAGATTTAACAAAAATTATGAATCCTGATATTTTTAGCATGTATATTAATACAACATTGGAAAAAATAAAACATCGGGTAAAACAAATAATTCTTGTACATTTAAAATCAAGATGAACCGTCGCCAATAGCCCATTGTGCAGCTCTAGTGCGATGTAAATAAAGTACCTACCTACCTCAAATCAATAAGAGGGGAAAAAGGAGGGATGAAAAGAATGCAACAGTAGACATTGTTAATTATATGAAATATTCTAAAAGAATCACTCTTTTTTTCGAAATCAGAAAAAAAAAGTAGATGAATCGTATAGATCTGGCGCTTATTCAGTATAGGGGGAGAAAACATATTTTTTTGTACAATGAGCTGAAGGAAAGTTGAAACCCTAAGGAAAAAAAACAGGGGTACGTTAATAACATGATAATAAATAATGATCACACGAATAATGAGGCCGGCACAGCCTGGTCGGTAGGGTGCTGGGCCCATGTCCGAGAGTTCGTGGGTTCGAACCCCGCAGGTCGAAGACTCCCCGCGTAGTAAAGTGATTGATGCACGTTAAATCTGCCGAGTTGCAAAAGTTCTCCATGCTGTCATAACAAATCAATACCTCTGGGGGTACTGGATTGGAGATCGATCGTTCTCTGACTCAGGTCAAAATTACGATCTGTGGATGAATGAATGGATGTATGAATGGGTCCGCCCTATAAACGGGTGCGACGTATAGTGTGGCGGAAGTCGAATTCTTGGCCATAGATGGCACCACTGAAAAACAGGAAATGCACACTCTGACTTAATTTGCGTCCCCCAGCGGACTGATAGTTAAGACACGGTTCCCAGCAGATCACCGTAGTCAAGCATCACTGATACGGTCAGTGTGCGGGTGGGTGACCACTTGGGTCAGTCTGCGTAGGGACCGAGGGTGTACGGTATTGGTCCTCGTTAAACTGTTCTACCGTAAAATGCTCGACTTCGTTCGCAGGTCGTTGCTCTACCGAAGCGAGGGTGCCATCCCCTCTGCAAAAGATCAAAATTGCGATGGCATGTCTGCGGATCATCCTCAGAGATGTTTCCATGACCGTCGTCAATAGCCCATTGTGCAGCTCTAGTGCGACGTAAATAAACAACAACAAGCCTTAAATTTGCTAATTTCACCAAGGAGGCTTGCTAGTATGGCAAATAGAATTAGAAACAACAACAACATGAATGTTGCTGTTGTTTCTAATGAAGTATGTCTATTCTATGGATGGGTGATCGTGTAAAGGTAAAGCTAAGGGTGGTGGCGTTAGTGGTTAAATTGCTCTCGCAAGACTTCCGGGTTACTGCTTCCGATATATTTTTACGCTGCAGATTGAAAAAACGCGCCATCATATTATTGCATCATATCTTTTGCAGTATTTTGCATGTACCGAATGCTTTCTTTCAGCCTTTAAACTTCAGCATTATCATATTAATATTAAAATCATTAGAATATTTTCTAATTAGGCTAACTTAAAAAGATATTTTTGGCGACATTTTATTCAAATACAGCCAAATAGGGGATAAAATACGAAACCTGGCAAACCTTAAGAATTACTTGAACCTTAAGAATTAGTCACTTGAAAATTATTTAATAACAACGGTTTCCTCGGTTTAATAGGAATAAACTGGAAGACTGGAAAGTATGCAGCATTGACCTATTTTTCGAACGAAAAACTGTAGGATCCGCTTAAACTATTGAAATGACCACTGATCTAGACATAATTCTGCAAAAATAACAACAAACACGAAGTCTGTTGTCTTATTATGGTATCATAAGTTATTACATTTTTAATTAATATATCTTAAAGAGGAAATAACTCATTTAGATAATGTGATTTCATTTAAGTTAACACTTTCAAATTTAATTTATTGATTTTGGATTATGAGTGGGATTTAATTCTAATTATATTAAAGATTTTCGAATTCTGTGCTTATAAAGATACAAAAGGTAAAATTATTTTTACGTGTGTGTTATATAAGAATTTAAAGAAATGACTATCTTTTTGCTTGTAAATTATAAAAATTTTTCTTTACAATAATTAAATAAAAAAAAAGGAAAGTACGCGATTTTTGATGTGTGTAAATAATATCTATTTGTACTACGTTTTAATTTTATTGGTAACATTTTTCACATTTGTGCATGTAATTTTCACTTTTTTAAGCAATGTCAAAATGATAATCTCAAAGCATAACAGTTATTTGTTTTTAAATCAAATCTACCAAATTTTTCGGTAACTACTGTAGACTTATTCCTCAGTATGTTCCCCTTGCAGTGACCACAGCTAATTTATGTAATAATTTTATTGGAGGTAGAATGTTTGTATAAATAAATTTTAAATAACTGTTTTGATACCCCTGATTTTTTTATTGAATTTAAGATCTTCTGAATTTTTTCCTTTATTCATTAATTTCTACTTTTAGTTACTTTTTATGTGTAAGAAATGTAATATTCAAAATTTTATTGTTTTTTTAATAGAACTAGTGAAATATGTCTACAGTAGGGGTGCACAACCTTTTTGAGTGAAGGGCCACTTGCACAGCAGGCTGGCTAACGAAGGGCCGCAGATCTATTTACACATGTTAATGACAAATGTAGTAATGTTTATTTAAACATTAGCGTTCCATTTTTTTTTTATCAATAAACTTAGTAATATCAATAACTTAGTAGTGTTCCATTATTGGAATTCATTCAAAAATAAAAAAAACTTATACTTTTTCTTTTTACAAAAAAAAAAAAACTTGCTCTTTTGAATTATATGAACTATATGAACAACAGATTTATCAAAATAAATAAACATTGAAGAAAAGAAATGTTTTTTTTTTTTTATCATATCACGCAATACGAAAATTCATTTTAGAATTAAATTCTAATAAATAAAAAAAAACTGCAATGCCCACAGAATTAAAGTAGGAAAAAGTTTAGTCATAATTAAGTAATATAAATTCAAATTAAATATTTTAATTGAAGAAAATTTATGGGTTTTAAATAAAAGCCTAAAATAAAAACAAAACTGTGATAGTTCAAAATAAAATTCAATGCTTATTTTGTAATGTGCTTTATT